AGAGTGTTTCAGCAATCAAAATAAAACATTATTGATCGTTATTAGTCTCACGGCTTTGATCTGTTTCAGTATCAAACAAACGCTGTCCTCATGTAAGGCTTCTTTTCCGTAATCCTCGCAACCGGTAGTAGTCTCCTTAAAATGAGTTTCTAAGCCATCCTCAATTTCTTTGAAATTTTCGCTACCTTTTTTTCATTTTCATCGTGGTACCTGATTGAATCCTTCGTTGGATTGTCTGCTCTGGAGATCACAGTACTCGGATCAATTTTTGAGATTAATGAGGGATCTAGAGAGATTAATGCTAATATCAAAGCACTCGTTTGAGTTTAGAACACGATGCAGCTCGATGAGATTTACGTGTAGGCTGAACTCTTCCGAATTTTGAAACGGTATTCTATTGAGTATTGTGTCAAGTTAGGTCGTTTAAAAATTCTGATGTGTAAAATCTTGCATGTTTGTTTGCATTTCGTTGATGAGTGATGAAAGCTGGTGTTCTAAAAGATTTTATTCTTGTCAATTTGAGCCTTAATAGATCAGAAGATGACCCCATAATCTTTTAAAGAGCTATGATACTGAGAATTTTTTTCTTAAGCTCAAAGTTGCTAGGATCAGCTGACATTGAGAGTAGTGAGTTAATTCCTTTTGGGTCTATTCATAGAGTATAATTTCAGATAAGGTACACCGTCTGCTCGTCACGCTATCTTATTTTCGGCCGGATAGATTCGTGCAACTTGTTAGTCTAATATTACGATTTTCCAGACCTAGCGTGATCGTCGCGAATTGAATCAAGACTTTGCACGACTATAAACCCAGGATAATTAATAGGTTATAAGTTGAATTTTTCAAAAACCAGTGTTTTACAGGCAGGAATAAACAAAAATGGTTCAAAATGAATAGTGTTGTAAATGTCAATCAATTCGACCAAATTAGCAAAGAAATTTTTAGTTTGCTCTGAATTGTAGTGAAGCAAGGGAGCGAAGTGCCAGCCAGCCGAAAATAATTTTATACCCTTCTAACAAGTCAAAAGTGGATTTTTTTTAAGCAACATAACAACGGATTGTCACATTTGTAATGCAACTGTTACAAAAAAATTTATATTTTTTTTCGGCTTCAAGTTACGGCGGCTTGTTAATATGGTGGTCTCGCTTTGTTGGACGTCCACTGATTAGAGTAATATTTTACTTTTAATCAAGTCGGTGTTGATTTTCGTCTCTTGTCTCTCTCATAAGATAGGATATTTTGCGAGCTAGCTAGGACATTTTTTAGAGGAGTTACTAGCTAGATAGGACTAGGATTTACTAGCTAGCTAGGACATACCTTTCAATAAGTCGGTGTTTATATTTGCATCATCTCTCTTTTATAAGCTAGGATAATCTATCCACAAGAGAAAGGACCAGCATACTAGCTGTTCAGCTTTCTACAGAGAAATGCTGTTGTGCCCTTGCTTAAAAAAATACAGAAGACTTTTTTGGCTACTTTTCTTTTTTCTCTTATTCCGTGTTTATATGAGCAGGCTATGGCTCCAATATTTTGCGAGCTATCTTTGATTCCAAGAGACATCATTTTAATTAAATATTGTCAAAAAAACTCAGTTTTGCTGCCTATATTAGGTACTACTGAACCCCCGAAAAACAACGTATGGCACGATGATAGCTACAATGCACCAGCTTCTACGAGAGTTGCATTTCACTAAAGTAATCATGAAACCAGCATCTAATAGATCAAAGACGTAATAATTTAAATCAACTTATCTTGTAATTAAAAAAACGTATGAAGTAGTTACATTAAGGTACCTACTTTATCATACGTTTTTTTTTCTCATTTCGAGATTATTTAATTTAAATTATTACGTCTTTGATCTATTAGAAGCTGGTGTAATGATTAGTTCGTTGAAACGCTACTCTCGTAGAAGATAGTGTCATAGAAGAACACTTACACAATTTTATCATTGATTTGCTTTTTAGTTGGAAGTATTTTTCTGATGGCTACCTGTGTTAATGCTGCTTCTCATTCCCAAAAAAGTTCGGAATATCAATTGTCATTTCCACGACCATGTTTAACATCGAAAGGCTGGTGCGAAAGAGCTATCCAAAAAATCTCAACGCTTGAGTATTCGATTGAGCATTTAAAAAAAATATTCGAAAATCAACTAGAATTGACTTTTAAAGCATTTTAACGATTTTTTTTTCATTCTTATATAATTGTTTGACCTGTAATTTTTCTTCTATACTTTGGAATTGTTTGATTAGCCTACTTTGATCAAACATAAGCAGCAGGTTTTTATTCTGGTTTTGTTCAGTTGTTATTTTTTTTATTATTGCCAGCTATAGTTAAAATAACTAAAAACAACTCATAGCACAAGTAGCTGAACAAATATCGTAGGAAATTTGCTTCTTGAAAAAAACTGCTTCTCACAGAAAATTTAGCTTAAAATTTGCTTAGCCTTATTTTCTACTGTCACTCAAAAATATCACTGAAAGTATCCGTTGATTGAAAAACAACCCAGTGTTGAAGTTTTACCATTGGAACATACTTGTTTTTCAGCCGAATTGCCTCAAAGCCTAAAAAGAAACAATTATTTTCTATTTTTGAAAGAAGAAAAAAATTAGAGTGTTTTCATAAAAAATCATAGCTGTATAAGTGAATAGTAAACAAATTTTACCTGCTTTTTTCTCAAAAAGGATCATTCATTGAGAAATGTTTATCCTAAGAATTAAAAAAAAATCTTTTTTTTTTAAAGTCTTCGAGTTATATCACACTTTTTCGAAAAAAAATATTATTCAAATACTGCTGTCCTTGCATTTTTCAAGGTATGGAAATTGAATGAGTAACATTTATTCATCGACTCAATTTATGAAACTGTGGGGCAAATATTTAAGTATGTCGAGATGAACACGTTTAAATTTTCAAACCCAGAAGAAGGTATACGCTTTTTGGCACACTTGAATAGAGGTAAAATAATTTAGTCTTTTAAAAAAAAATTGGACATCCAGAAGTTTTTTATTACTAAAAGAAAACTGGTAAAAAGGGCAGACAAATTCGTTAAACTATCGTTAAACTCATATTTCAGCCCCATCTAATATTTTTGCGTATTCAAACAAGGCACATTCTTATTGCAAAGTTCAAACCCGAATTTTAAACTTGAATTTTCGGGCCAATTTGTTTTATTTAAATTACGCAAAACTACTGGATCAAAATTAAAACAAACTGTAACAAAATTTGTCGGATCGAAGCAAAGTGTAATCAATTGCTCTGAAACTGTTTTCGAAAATATCAATTTAAAATTGTTCTTAAATAAAAACAAGACTGCTCGTATCAGGGCGAAGCGCTGAATGTTCCGACTGCCCTTTAAGGTTTATGGAGCAGTAATAACATAAGGAAAATAAATGTAAAAAAAAAACGAAAAATTTTTTTTTTCTAAAATTTGAAATTTTTTACGAAAATCATCACCCCACACACCATATAAAGTACAAAAGGATAATTTTTGCTCCTTGTAACAAATCAATTATGGCAAATAAGCTTCTTTCAACTAATTTGGAACGATTTATAAGACGGATTAACTCTCCGCTTACGCGTTACTAGCGCGAAATAGATCGCGCGTTAATTGTCCCAAATTGGCCGATATGGCAACCTTTAAACCCTTTAAACTTTACGAAAAATGATCACAGGTGAAATATCTTTTCAAATTTGAGCTGAGGACAACAATACCTTTCGAATGATATAAAAAAATTCTGTCAAAAACGGCTAGTTAAAAAGTCGAAATTTGTCTGAAGAAAAAAACCCACCCCGAGCACAAATATTCCGTTACTTTCGTATCAAAAGTCGGAACAAAAAGAACGAAAAAAAGGATGTCCTCTTTAGTTTTAGCGGATTGATAACCACTTGCGTATAAAATCACGAAATATCTCAGGCGTTAATTGTCCCAAAGACAATTTTCAAGCCACCATAACTTTACAAAAAAACACTAACAGGTGAAATACTTTTTTTAAATTGAAGCTCAGAGCAGCAATAACTTAATGCTGATATTTAAAAATTCCGTCAGAAAAAAAACTATTTTAAAAGTCAAACTTTGTCTTGAGGAAAAAGCCACTCCGAGCACAAATGTTCGAAAGTTGGTTCAAATAACTATGAAATGAAACCAAAAGACTGTACAATTGATTTAATTTGCTGGAATTGTTTTTGATTTGATGAAGTTATCAGACTCGATTTTTGTTGCGATCAGTCCTAGTTGACATTAGAATGTAATTATCACGAAAAAAAAACTGAGCTTTTAGATTTTATCTGATTTAAACTGAAAATTTATCCACCAATTTTTCATCACAATTAAGTTTTGGGAGAACAGCAATTTGAAATTTTGTTTGAAATTTTACTTAAGATTTTATTGTAAGTCAATCCACACATGCTATTTAGAAAAATTGATATATTTTGCATGTAGAAAAGTATTAAATAGACTAAATAGCATGCTTCAATTGAATTTGGAATGATTTCTAACACGGAATAAATATCCGCGTACTCATTAATAGCACGAAATATAATGCGCGTTAATTTTCCCAAATTGGAGATTTTTCTCATACCCCCATAACTGTGTGAAAAACAATCACAAGTGAAATATTGTTTTTTAAACTGAGCTCAGGAAAAAGTTTTCTGCCTACTGAGAACATAGTTTAAAAAAACGTTTGAGGTTTCAGATTTTCTTCGTTTTATCTAGATAATTTAAATCAGCACAAAAGGATTTTGCGAGGTTCAAAAAATAACATGAAAAGATAAATAAAAACATCTCTGTGATAGAATAACGTCTCATATATAGGTGTACTTTTTGGAAATAACGCATTGAAGACGATCGCACAAATAATTTTTGGATAAAACATACTGCAGAGTTTTAGGTTTGTACAAAGCTTTGACGGATATTGCGGTTACTGAGGTACTAAAGTTGATCACATTCAGTCACTCAGAAGCAGCTGAAGTTGAATTTGGTTACAATCATGCTCTCTAGAACATAATCACTCCTGCTCAATTTTTGTCACTATGGACTCTTGTTGACGCGATATCATTTCAGTTGACCTTTGATGACGCACCAGATTCTGATACATGCAAAGATAGGACAAAGAGTACAGATTGTGGTATGGTGCAGTGTGAACAGCCCCGTTGTTTTCCTGCAGAACACTTACAGGAGCTGTGTTCACAAAATTGTTCACATTTCTAAAGAAAGGCGCTAAAGGAACATTAGCAGCCATCTGCAACTGGGTCGGGGTCTGCCGATGAGCTGAATTGACTTTTTTGAGATTAGTGGGTTGGCCCATATTTTTGGTTACTTCTGCACCTGAGCCTGAACCGAAAAAAAAAATGTCGTTTAGATGAGAATTTATCTGCATGGTGTCACGTTTCGTGATTGAGTTAGTCTTACACTTGAAATTTAGTTCATACACGGAATTGCTCAGGATGGTACTTTTCAACCTGTTATTTCTAAATTATAGAAAAAATCTAAATAATGAACTCAAAAAATTTTCAGCGCCAAAATTTTTTTTAATACTTTTTTGTTCTGATGGTTTTTTCCAACCCCTGAGAACTCGTTCTTCTTAAGCCCTCTTCCTAATTGGCAGTCCAAAAACATAATATCAACTTAGAGCTAAACTTGCCGCTTTTTGTTTGGCCAAAATGACAGTCGTTTATCGGAGTTTCGCACTCAGAGTGATCTTCAGCATTATTCCCCCGTGCTATTGAATCGCCCACCGACCGATTCCCTCCCCCAGTCTCAACGACAGCCGAGCTGTTCCTCAGATTTCTCTCTTTCCTCCATCTGGCACGCCTGTTCTGGAACCAAACCTAGAAAAAAGCCACAGCAAGTTCATCAGAGGGCTCTTTTCCCGGCAAATTACCGCTCATTTCCATAAAACAAAAAAATACTGTAGTGAGTCTTTATTTTTAATTAGTACAAGGGAGGCTACAATGAGAAACGTCATCAAAGCGGGAAACAATGGTATGCCCGCAACTTCGGCATGACTTCTAGTCATAAGAATGAAATCTATATGACCAGCAATCTCCTACTATGAAATTTAAGGACTACCATTCTTTCTAACGTGGGAATTGTATGACTAGCACTCTTACTCTTCCGTAAACTTTCAAAATTCACAATTTTCTTTCATTGTTTTCGTTCTACAGTGTTAATTTGAATTATATATGGACAAAACGATAGAAACTTGAAACTTAAAACGCGTTCTTCCCAAATTGGGTTGATTTTAGACAAAAATGATGAAAAACCAATCTTGCTTAAAATTTTGAGACAATTATTAAGGTGCAATTTGTTTTGCAAATCATTTTTGGGCCAAAAAATTGCACCAAAACGATCTTGTTCGCTTTTTAGTCACTCAAAAATTACTCCAAACCTATTTGTTCATTTACTGACAACATTATGTCACTGCAAGCCTCTAACGTAGCCCAACAAAATTTGAGAAGTTTGGTGTTTTAGATTGTAAAAATAATATTTTTTGGCTATCAAACAAAAAAATATATATGTTTAAATGAGGCTGAGAAAGTTATACCCTTCTCAAATTTTGTTGGGTTAAATAAGCGATAAGCAGTGATACGCTTGTGTCAACAAATCAAAGTATAGGTTTGGAGTATTTTCTGATTGACTGAAAAAAGCCAAAAATGATCGCTTTTGGGGTAAATTTTTCAGCCCGAATTTTGCAAAAACAAATTGAGCGACTTTATTTATGTTAAAGTTTTGCGACAAACTAATCTTATCATTTTTTGTCTAAAATCAACTCATTTTGAAAAAAAATGTGTTTTTAGTTTTATTCGTTTTGTCCATATAATTTAAATCAGCACTAAATTTGTGTTTGTATTTGCGCTAGTTTTTATATATTTGTGTGTGACGAATTTTGCAAAAACAAATTGAGCGACTTTATTTATGTTAAAGTTTTGCGACAAGCTAATCTTATCATTTTTTGTCTAAAATCAACTCATTTTGAAAAAAAATGTGTTTTTAGTTTTATTCGTTTTGTCCATATAATTTAAATCAGCACTAAATTTGTGTTTCTATTTGCGCTAGTTTGTATATATTTGTGTGTGACGAACTTTGCAAAAACAAATTGAGCGACTTTATTTATGTTAAAGTTTTGCGACAAGCTAATCTTATCATTTTTTGTCTAAAATCAACTCATTTTGAAAAAAATGTGTTTTTAGTTTTCAAGTTTTATTCGTTTTGTCCATATAATTTAAATCAGCACTAAATTTGTGTTTGTATTTGCGCTAGTTTGTATATATTTGTGTGTGACGAATTTTGCAAAAACAAATTGAGCGACTTTATTTATGTTAAAGTTTAGCGACAAGCTAATCTTATCATTTTTTGTCTAAAATCAACTCATTTTGAAAAAAATGTGTTTTTAGTTTTCAAGTTTTATTCGTTTTGTCCATATAATTTAAATCAGCACTAAATTTGTGTTTGTATTTGCGCTAGTTTGTATATATTTGTGTGTGACTCAAAATAGATGCCTATGTATCAAAAAATCTCCGACTGACCTTTAAGTGGTATCGTACGTAGTTTTTGTTTTATAAATTTTTGTTAAACTGTAATTTCTAGATTGTCAATATCAAAACTAAAGAGCTAAAACTAGACGAATAAATGAATGTGACCAGTATTGACAACTGTTTAATATTTATCAGTATCCGGGTAAAAAAACTATTTAGTATTACTCGAGCAGTTGCTGGGGAATCCAAAGCTTCACGGATCGATTTCGGAATAATAAGTGGAACAACTGGTATCTTTTTAGTTCCGGCTTCAGAAGAAAAAAATGAATATTTGTGCCAATATTTATTTTTCACACCTAAAAGTTTCGATGACGTAAGCTCAAAATTAAAAAGATTTTTTACTTGTAAATTTTTTTTTTATAATCATGGCGGTTTAAATGGCGGTTTTTTTGTATAATCATGTCACCTTGGATATTTTAGTGAAATAAATGCGCGTTATGTTTGGTTAAGCTTACGCGTAAAAGGCAATGTAATTCAGCTCAACATGTGATCCAATTTGATTTGAAGCAAAGATATTTGGAACTATTAAGACAATGCTAGACGCGACTTACATAATATTGTACTTTGCTTACAAAAGAAAATCGGAAAAAAATACATTTTTTCTTCCAATTTTTGAAATTTGATTTTTAATTTTTTTTAAACCTTAGACCTTAAGTTTCTTGGATTCTTAGTCCTTTGAAAATGACTTAATTCTTGCATCTTGTAGAGCGCTTGAAGCATTAAAGGTTTTGTCCTGATACGAGCAGTCTTGTTTAGTTTTTACCTCACATATAGATGAGCTTACTAAAATACTTCTACCATCTTTTTAATACTGCTCAAATACAGGTTCTGAAAGAGACCAACATAAAGACCATCAAATATGGAGTTTATAAATATACTGATAAAATATGTCACAGTATCAACGTAATAAGTGCTTGTTACAACCTACCCCTTCCTCTTCACCCTACCCCTACAGTAAAAAGGTGCATACTATAAAGTCATAAGCCTACTTGTACTCTGGCTTCGGTCAGTTTAATCCTATTGGCCAGTTCCTCGCGAGTGAACACATCTGGATATGGCGCGCACTCGAATGCACGCTCCATCTGGTCCAGTTGTTCGGATGTAAATGTCGTCCGATATCGACTCTTCTTCCTAGCACTGCCAGAGTGACATGGCAACGAACTACTACCACTGTAATTGAAGCCTAAAACAGCGTGTGCTCTGAAGGGTCTCTTTGATTTCAAAAATTACAATTCGAGACATTTCATACCAACGTTCGCTTAAATTATTAGGAGATCAATCTTTACTATTCATATTGAGCAAAAATAAGCGCTTCGGATTTTTTTTAGGTCGACCAAATTAATTTTCTGAGCTCTCGCAAAGAGCACTAAAAAGTCCCTGTTTTGACCGCAGGCGAATTTTTGAAAAATAGGCCAAAAAAGAGTTTTTACTTTTTGGAAAATTTTGACAAAAAAAAGCGTTTTTTCGGCGCTCGCTCCTCCCTCAAAATTGGTATATATTGGCACCGAAGGCGGCTTTAGAAAAATTTTAGGATCAGTCAGCCAAAAATGGACATCTCAAAGTAGTGCAAAGATGCACTTGTATACGCTCTTCCGGTTTAATATTGAACTCATTCAAAAGTTTGTCGCACCATATCTAGAGTTGAATTTGATCGGAATGCTTGTTGCAGTTGGCCCCTTTTGACCTTCGTCTGAATTAACTGTGTTCCGATTGGCTGATGCGGTTACAGTTGAGAAATGTTTATCCAAACTGAGAGGACTGGACCATTGTTTCAGTAAGCCTAAAAATAGCTATTTTACTTTTAGAAAATCTTTTTCCTCCTCCTGCCAATAGGTGAAGAAATTGTCCTGATTAACGCACCGCGTAAGGCCTGAAATGGTATTCAGATGTAGATTTGTTCTAAAATAAACACTTATTATTGGCAGTAGATTTATTTGAACATAAATTATTCACTACGTTTGATGGGAATAGAAATGGCGGTGCCCAATTCTGGAAAAAAATTTTTGAGAGGATCATTGGAGAAAACCAAAAGAAAACAAAGATAGCTGGTTACCAGGGGCGGATCTGGATTTTCTCGAGGGGGGGGCGGATTTTCAAAAAAAAAATCGAAAATTTTGACGACCTTTTCTTTTTTTTAGGTCGACCAAATTGATTTTTCGAGCTCTCCCAAAGCACTGTTTTGCCCCTATTTTGGCTAAATTTTCTCCGCCGCAGGCAAATTTTTGAAAAAACAGTCAAAAAAGCCGTTTTTGGGCACTTTTTGAAAAATTTTGACAAAAAAATCGCGTTTTTTTGGCGCGCGCTCCCCCTCAAGGTTAGTATATATAGGCGCCAAAGGCGCTTTAAGAAAAATTTTAGGGTCGGTCGGCCAAAAATGGATTTCTGAAAAAGTATCAAAGGGGGGACCCTTTGAGTCGGCAGGGGGTCGAATCCCTGAGGAAGAGGGGCGTCCGCCCCCCCCCCCCCCCCTAAATCTGCCCCTGCCGGTTACTGTGCAATTAGCAGAGAATGTTCCGACCAGTCTTAAAAAATTACAACAAAATTATTTTTCCAATTAGTGTTGTTTGTTAGGGAATCTGAGCGAAAAAGCAGAGCTTGGGAAATTTTGTCAGTCATTGTAAAATATGCAAAATGGAAAACATTTTTTGAAGACAATTAACAAGGAAAACAAAAAATCAAGCGATATTTTTTTTCTAAAAAATTTTCAAAATTTTTTTCCCAAATTTTTGAAGTTTTTGATTCCTCAGATGAAGCAAGTTTCATTTGAATAAAACCAATTTCATTTGAATAAAAGTAATATCTCAAGGCTTAAATTAAGCATAAATAATCTAATGTAAGCCTGCTCACTCGCTCGAATTTAGACGAAAAATCAAAAATTTCAAAAACCGGTTTTTCTCGACACATAATCTAAACACATAAGTTTTGATACTATAACTTAATAATAAGCTACCTTCAGCATTGCCACCGTCCTTCTGTGTAATCGTTTCGCTTCCTGACAAACCTCTAGAAAGTGGAGACTGGTTGAACTCTGAAGGCTGGCACGGCAGAACTGAACTTAGTATGCTATCTATGGTGAACATTACGTCCTAATGGGGTAGGAGCAGTCAGTAAAATTTGGCGACAGATTCGATTTTTGGTAAATTTTTCAATTAAAATCAAATACTCAATTACGATTCAGGGTAAAATCGAATCTGACTCGGTTTAATTTACCGACCTGACATACAAACAAATTTTGACAAATGCTATTTATGTTTAAATCAATTTTGAGCTTCAGCTTGTGACAGAAAATAACACAACTGTTCTAAAGTTTTTATCCAAAAAAGTGATGGAAAATAGCTAGCTTCTTTTGCAGCAACGGTTAATTATTTTATGATTGCAAAATATCTGTAATAACCAAATTATTACACCCCATAGACTTTTATGACATACTAAAGTATGCTTGATAATTGCAGCATGGAGATTTTCACAAACAACTTTCAACTCCCTGATGATCGAAAAAAATTTAGATTTCATCAAGATCAATTTTCCTTCAAAGTTGGAAATTATGAGTTAATTTCAGCAACTTCAGAGTATAAAAGATTGAAGCAGTCTTTATTCCTAAGCAGTTTTTTGAAAATTTTTTGAATTTTGGGGAGTAATTTTACATAATTGTTATAATTTAGTGGTATCAAAGATATGAATAACAGAGACTGATGATAATGGCAAAAGCAGTTTGCAGTACTTAAAGGAGTTTTATACGTTTAGATCTAAGATAACTATAAATTGTAGAACAGATTTTTTTCAATTTCTTTTTTACAGCAATGCAATATGGTCCCAAAATTTATCAACTTTTCAACAGCTTTTCGAAATTAAAAAAGTACTCAAATTTATGAAGCCTTTTAGAAATTATATTTAAAAGAATCAGGCTATAGATACGGCTTTTTAATAGTTTCATAACCATATTTTTGCTCCCAGTTTCGAAGAGCGAGAGCTATTTGGGAGGTCGTAATTTTTTTCGCATTATTCAGAATCACCAGAAAAGTTGCACAATATCTAAATTGTTGAAACTACATTTATTTAGATTTTTTCAGACTCTTGTAGCAACTGAGTTGGAGAAAGGGAAGGCTGGGGTGGAGTCAAGAGTGGAGAGGGGTGGGGTGAAGGGGGTGGGTTGAGTTTCAGCGCCATTTCAAGTTCGGTGCCTGGTAAATGATGAGTTACTGCATTATCATTCAAACAAAGCGTCCTTGAGAACAACTTATTATATTTATTTATTATAATTTATTATAATTAAATGATAATAACGGAAATAAATAGGACATAATTGTCAAATAAAATTTGTGTCACACTCCTCATGTCTGAGTGAAAAAGATATTGACGGCTTTCTCGATACTCATTTGAAATCGTCCTGTTGACATCTAAGTCGCGACTAAAAAGGATTTAAACGATACTGCACGAAGTACGCCATTAGGGAACCCTCACAGCACCATATTAGTTTCCCATTTTTCGCAAGCGATCGTATTATTGGGAATGAGTTGGAAGGAACTAATGGTTCGTTTGAGTTTCGAAAAAAAAACATGAAAGAAAGCAAAGTTTGTTATCAGAATAAAAGCTCTTGAAGATAGTTGGTCTTCAATTTCCACATTTCAAGCAGTTTACCCTCAGCAAAAATTGTCCGCAATTTTTACATGGACAGAAAAATAGTTCAAGAAAAACATTATTTAAGTAATTTACTTCAATTATCTTTGAAAAATTAATTATCTGCTCCAGAACTACTGCTAAAAAAATACAGAAAATTACAAACTGCAAAAATTTATTAACAAAAAACACACAAAGAAAATTTTTCTTAAAACATTCAAATTCGTTTTTCAAATTATCGGAATTTTTTTTCGGAACTTGAGAAGGGTTAAAAGTAATCCTCAGCTTTTAGGCATTAATAAGTAAAAGAATTAAGGACCGTACCAAAAGTTTTAAAGTTATGCAATACTCAAAAAAATACTGGTTATAGAAAAAATCACTAGGTTTTGTACGCAAGAAGTCACTAGGTTTTGTTCTCCGGTACAGTCATCGTACATCGGTAGTGAAAAAAACGACGTGAAAAATAGAGAGGTTAACTCATACAAGTTATTATACACGGAGGCGAAGATGAGCTTCGCGCCACTTGCGATACAAATATGAATGTTATGAAAATCAAACGGAAAAAAAATCAAAAAATCGTTTTTGCCAATGAAATTTGCAACAAAAGCCCAAAATATCCAGAACAAAAACTGCCTGCACCATGAAGAATTCTACAAGTAGCTCTATGAATGCTACACAGAAGCCAAGTTTTCAAAAAACGTCTTTTCTGCGGAACTAAGCAGACAAAAAAAGCAGCCAGACAGTAATCTAAATTAGCCAAAATTTTCTATTTGCAAGAAAATCAAGTCTCATTTGGAATCGAACTTCCGGTCTTTGTCGTCTCAAGCATGGGCGTTACAGCAACTTGGAATAAAGCTGAACCATCGAGCTACGGGAACTGAGCCGACAAAAACAAACAGAAGGACGATAATCCGAAAAGGCACAAAAACTCTAAGTTTGCAAAAAAAGCGCCCGGTCAGATTCGAAATGCAAATCTTTGCCATCTCAAGTAGTTGTTTTAACTCTGCGCCCGATGCGCCGTGTGATTGATTGGATTTGAATTGGTAATTACCAAGTGGTAACAAAGCAGAAAAAAACCTGCGCAGAAACTTTTAATACCGAGAAGAAATTCAGAAAACTTCTAAACTCATAAAAAATTTCAAGTCTCTTTCCCGTCAGAGTACACACACGCGCACAAACACTTTTTTCGGACGTAATGACACCATACGAGGCCACCAAGTCGATATTAATTGGACCGAAAATTATAAGGCCGATAAAAAAGACGACAAAATTGAACTTTCAACAAATCGAGCTGTTAAATTTTAACCAATGTGAAAAGCAAACTTCGATTCGGCCGGATTTTTAAAATGTTAAAAATAACTGCAGTTAAAATTGATTACAGCTAAAATATATGGCAACTAAGCCAAAAACTCATAAGCAGACAAATAATAGGCAGACAGTTTTTTTGAACCGGATCATGTACCGTTTGAAAAAAAAAACAGGTCTGATCAGATTTGTACCCAGGACCTTTGTCGTCCCAGGTGTATTCGTTACCACCAGGCTAAGCGCGCAAGAGACACTAGAGATTTTGAATTCTTTATGAACCAAGCTACCTTTACGGGAAAAAAGTCTAGTACCCAATAGCAATACCCATGCGATCGCAAGGGTAAACACATAACACATTCCTGCTATAATTATCCAGAAAACGTTATCTTATGCGAATCTCATATCTTATAAGGCTAGAGCTTCTTAGTTCTGAAAAATATGCTTTTTTAATTGAAAATGAATTTATTCTGCATTAAAACCCTCACCCGAGTCCGAACTATTGCCTAAATTTTAGTAAGTAAATAGGGCTCATCATCCCCTTCCATGACAAATTGAGGACCAATAAAGGGGACAAATTTTCAAACAATTGGGCCTATTCACCCCTTTATGGATAAAATAGGAGCACAAATTAGGAGCCCAAAATTTAGAGCTATTGGTTCCTGTGTTATCAAGACAAAACTAGACTCAATGAAGCTCAGCTTTAAGAACAATTGGGGCCCATTTGAAGACCAATCGTCAGAGAAACATCTTACTCATCCCTTCCAAAAAATTGCATAGCGTAACATTGATCTATGAAAACTGAGCAACAAATTTAAATTTTTGCGTGCCAACTTCTTTTTTTTTTGTGCCAACATTAAGCTTGTGCGTGCCAACTGCCAACTTTTTTTCGCTGTTTGAGCAGTTTTAAATTTTCTTCTGGTCAGAAAACTAGTTGCCAATAAAATTACGCTTTCAGTAAATTTTCTGCATGACGTTTAACGAATTCGTGATATGCCAGATATTTTTTTTCTTAAAAAGTAGAAAAAAAATGTCTCAACACTGATATAACAACGATGTCCGTATAGCAATTTCAATCATACATTTCTTGGGCTCCCAGCCACTTCCGCCCCCTTCACTTCCGCCCAGTCATTTCCGCCCAAAAACACAGTCACTTCTGCTCCAGTCATTTTCGCTCAAAAACAGTCAGTGAAATGACTGCTTTTGGGGCGGAAATGACTGGAGTTTTGGGGGCTGAAATTTCTGATCACGATATTTTTGAACTTCCAATAAACACGATAAAATTAATTTCTATAGTTTCCTATTTTTTGTGCTTCTACCAAAGACAAAATCTTAAGTTAGACTTTTGGCAAAACTATGTACTTAAAATGCAAGACACCATGATCGAATTCGTTCTTTGGTATTTAATTTTTAGGAGAAATAGCCAATTTGGTCATTGCCTTGCAATTGATGACAAAAATTTTTAAAAAAGTCTAACCAAAAAATTTGTGTTAGGTATGAGCAAAAAAAATTCATTTTTTTATTAAAGGTTTTTAACGAGGTTATCACAAGTTCAAAAAAATGAATTGGAATCGCTGTTACAAAGATCATACTTATCTCAGTTTTTAAGAAAAATTTCAAAAAAAAAATTACCAAAAGCGTATGTAAACAATTCAAAACTTATCAAATTAGCATGAAAAGATTTTGATATGGCATGTCACCTTACCCCATCTGTTTATTTGTGGCATTCTCAAGCTCGCACATAAATTACTAAATTAATCTAATTCGAAAGCGTGCATTTTCCATATTTGAAGTTATCAATTAAGTAAACGCAACAAAACATCAGATCACGCTCTGATCGCTTACTTTGTTGATTTTTGGTCTTTGTTTTGCGCTAAAAAACACTGTCTTTTACTTTTACGTGGCTTACTAAGTTGTTCTAATTTGAAAGCTCGCGTTTTTATTCAGCATATTTAATGTTCCGACTTTCTTAACGAAACTAACGGAAAATTTCTGCTCGGGTGGGTTTTTTTTTCTTCAGGCAAATTTCAACTTTTTAACTAGCCATTTTGACAAAATTTTTATATCCTTCAAATGGTATTGTTGTCCTGAGCTTAACTTTGAAAAAATATTTCACCTGTGATCCTTTTCCGTAATGTAATGGGGGTTTAGATATTTTCATCTAACCGTAAATAGTAAAATACCATATTGAATTCTGAAACTTACTGTAGAAAATGTTATTTGAAAGCACAGCCTTCAGTTCAGTATGGTGTTTTATAGGCGCTTATTTGAATAATTACCCTTAATACTAAAAATTTGAGCTTTCAAATAAGAACGAATTTATGGAGTAGTTTTCAAACGTTTTTATACGCAAAACCAGAAACCACAAATAAGCAGTTGGGGTCAAATGACGTATCCTATAAAAAATTTTAAATATCATAAAATTCGAAATTTTTTTGCGTTTAACTTTTTTGCTTTTCAAACTAATTTAGAGCACAAAAAGACATATTCGTTCTTTTCAAGAAGTTTTTATTAACAATCCATTGCCAACATTTCCAAGCTCAATTTCTGTCTTTTACTTTACGCGCAAAAAAATTGTACTAAAGAAATCAACTGCGTTCGGAAATTCGCCCTTCTATCACAGCAACTATCTGTTTTTGATCTAAATGTCTTAACGCTAAACATAACTGTTCCGATTTTCGAAAAAAAACTGATTATTAATGCTCTGTGTGGTTTTTTTTTCACTCAATTATCCCCGATCGGAATAATTGTTTTCAAATTTTTTTTACCTCATTGAAGATATCGACTTCGTGAGTTCTATTATAAAAAGATATTTTACCTCCAATACTTTTTTATAAAATTCTGGAATATTGAAAATTGCCAAATTGGCCATGTTCTGGATTAAACTATGCGCGCTTTGAAGAGTTTATTTATAATGCTGAGAGCATATCCCGAATTAATTAAGCGTGGCAAATTATCCCGCACAATAAAATCGTTCCAAATTGAATTGAGTCTGGCTAATAGGTCGTAAAAATTTCGTACGACTTCAAATTTCAAACTTTGATATCGACCACAATTTTATGTTTTCAGAATTTTCTGTTTCGAAAAACTATTCAATATGAGTTACGGGAGAGTCGGAACATTCAGGTCTTTGCCCTGATATACGCGCAGTCTTGTACATTTTTATCAATGCATTTTAATTTTTTTATCTATCAAAACAACAGCAGAAAATAAGCACACTGTCCAAAATGCAGGCAATTTCTGCTTTAAGTCGGATGCCCTCTCCCCCAAGCAGATGAAGGAAAATTTGAAAAAAAATCGGGGTGAATGACGATAAATTAGTTTTTGACAAGTTTTTTGCTTTTCAAACTAATTTAGAGCAGAAAAAGACATATTCGTTCTTTTCAAGAAATTTTTATTAACAATCCATTGACAACATTTCCAAGCTCAATTTCTGTCTTTTACTTTACGCGCAAAAAAATTGTACTAAAGAAATCAACTGCGTTCGGAAATTCGCCCTTATATCACAGCAACTATCTGTTTTTGATCTAAATGTCTTAACGCTAAAAATAACTGTTCCGATTTTCGAGAAAAAACTGATTATTTATGCTCTGTGTGGCTTTTTTTCACTCAATTTTCCCCGATCGGAATAATTGTTTTCAAAATTTTTTTACCTCGTTGAAGATATCGACTTCGTGAGTTCTATTATAAAAAGATATTTTACCTCCAATACTTTTTTATAAAATTCTGGAATATTGAAAATTGCCAAATTGGCCATGTTCTGGATTAAACTATGCGCGCTTTGAAGAGTTTATTTATAATGCTGAGAGCATATCCCGAATTAATTAAGCGTGGCAAATTATCCCGCACAATAAAATCCATCCAAATTGAATTGAGTCTGGCTAATAGGTCGTAAAAATTTCGTACGACTTCAAATTTCAGACTTTGATATCGACCACAATTTTATGTTTTCAGAATTTTCTGTTTCGAAAAACTATTCAATATGAGTTACGGGAGAGTCGGAACATTCAGGTCTTTGCCCTGATATACGCGCAGTCTTGTACATTTTTATCAATGCATTTTAATTTTTTTATCTATCAAAACAACAGCAGAAAATAAGCACACTTACCAAAATGCAGGCAATTTCTGCTTTAAGTCGGATGCCCCCCCCCCCCCCCCCCCCTCCAAGCAGATTAATGAAAAATTGAAAAAAAATTGGGGTGAATGACAAAAAAATATTATGGGAGACTGTAATGTAAACAAAACCGAATCCAGGCAGTTAGAAGAAAATTATTAGCTGAGAGATTGATCAATATTATTCCCACTTTCGAGAAAACGGAAAATTTATGCTCGATGCGGTTTTTTGCATTCCGTCAATTGTCGCCGATCGAAAAAGTTATTCCCACTTTCGAGAAAACGGAAAATTTATGCTCGATGCGGTTTTTTGCATTCCGTCAATTGTCGCCGATCGAAAAATATTGTAAGCTTATAAGTTTTGGACAATATCGAAGTGGTAAATTTTGATTCGTACGGAATTAATGCTTTCGTTTAGCTAGCCTCAATTCAATTTGGAACGATTTTGTGCGGGAAAGTTCAGGGGGTTTGGAAATTCCCAAATTGGCCATTTTCTGGGCTAAATTATGCGCGCTTTGAAGAGTTTAATCAATGCTGAGAGAGTAAAACAAATTATTTGTTCGTGCCGAATTATCCCGCACAACAAAATCGTTCCAAATTGAATTGAGGCTAGCTAATCGGTCGTAATAGTTTCGTACGACTCAAAATTTCACACTTCGATAGTTTAAATATTATAAGTTTACAAAATTTTTTCCCAAAAACCATTCGATATGAATTAAGGGACAGTTGGATCGTTCAGGGCTTTGCCCTGGTATACGAGCATTCTTGTTCATTTCTTGAATTGATTTATCCCCGACTGAACCATTGATCACGCAAAACTTCAAAATCAAGTTTTTCTCCGGCAAATACTCTGGTTGCAGTATTTGCTACTTGCCTGGTGCGATGGCGAATTCCGCATTGAAAATATATACCCCGCAATTTGCCTAAAATGTTCCACGAAAAAGCCTTTGAATGAACGTTTAAGGTTTTTTTTACTTGCCTCATAAAAATTAGTAACGAAACCTTCAATTAAGGAAAATTATTGTATTGCACATGTATGGGACAAATACTTTAGTAAAATGACCATTACTTAGCACATTAGTAAATGAGGCATTGAAGTTTAAATAACTGCAACAACATCAGAATAGAACAGCAAGAAGTTAAAATCAATAAAAGTTCAAAACTTTCAATCAGTTCACAGTTCAAACATCGGCTATTTAAGCTGATTTAATGTTTAAAGTTCGGATAAAAGTTTAGAAGACAAATTTCCCAAGCATTTTATCCGCTGCACGACAGACAGGCATCTCGGTTCTCTAGAGAGCACAGCATGTCGCTCAGATCCTTCGTGGCCTTGGGTCTAGCTTGACCTGGGACCTCGTTCTCCTTGCCCTTTTCCACCCTGCCCCCGTCAACTTTAGCATTCAACTTCTGCTTGTCTACTGTAAACTGAATCGGGTTAGCAGCTGCTTTTGTCCTTAAATAGTACATGCCGGTTTTCAGTCCCTTCTTCCATCCGTAAAAGTGCATCGAAGTCAGCTTGCCAAAGTTTGTGTCGGCCAAGTGGATGTTCAGAGACTGGCTCTGATCAATGTATGCCCCTCGATCGGCGGCCATATCCATAATGGCCTTCTGCGAGACCTCCCAAACTGTCCTATAGAGCTTCTTGATTTCACTCGGGATTTCATTGACATTCTGGATACTTCCGTTATTGGCAATGATTTCGTTTTTAACGTCATCATTCCAAAGTCCCATTTCGGTCAAGTCCTTCAATAGATGTTGATTGATGATTTGGAACTCTCCTGATAGCACTCTTCGCACATATACATTACTTGTATAAGCTTCAATCGACTCGTTATTGCCGAGGATCTGCGCTGTTGAAGCGGTAGGCATAGGTGCCAGCAACAGACTGTTTCGGACTCCGTGCTTCGCGATCTTGGTTCTCAGTTCGTCCCAGTTCCATAGACCCGAAGTTGGAGTCACTCCCCACATGTCATGTTGGAGAATTCCTCGGCTCACCGGAGATCCTTCATAGGTCTCATATGGTCCTTCTTTTTCGGCAAGTTCACAGCTAGCTTCTAGAGCACCGAAATAGATAGTTTCGAAGATGTCGCGATTAAGTTTTCGCGCTTCCTCAGAGTCAAATGGATATCGCATCAGAATGAACGCGTCGGCCAGACCTTGCACTCCAATTCCGATCGGTCGGTGACGAAAGTTAGACCTTCTTGCACTTTCAACTGGGTAGTAGTTGACGTCGATAATCTTGTTTAAATTTTTCGTTACGACCTTGGAGACAAACTTCAGTTTCTCAAAGTCGTAAGTCTTGTCGCTTTTCACGAACATATTCAGAGCAATTGACGCTAAGTTACACACCGCAGTTTCGTCAGGTGAGCTGTACTCGACAATTTCTGTGCATAGATTGGAGCATTTGATGGTTCCTAGATTCTGTTGGTTACTTTTTCGGTTACAAGCATCCTTGTACAGCATATACGGTGTTCCGGTTTCAGTTTGCGATTCGAGGATGGCGTACCATAGTTGTTGGGCAGGCATTTGTTTCTTGAATCGGCCTTCCTTCTCGTAGCCTTCGTACAATTTTTCGAACTCTTCACCCCAGCAGTCGGCAAGTCCTGGGCACTCATTGGGACACATCAGAGACCACATTCCGTTCTCCTCCACTCGCTGCATAAACAGATCGGGGATCCAAAGAGCAAAAAACAAGTCGCGGGCACGGCTTTCCTCTTTTCCGTGATTCTTTCTACAGTCCAGGAACTCGTGGATGTCAGCGTGCCAAGGTTCCAGATAAATAGCGAAAGCCCCTGGTCTCTTGTTACCACCCTGATCTACGTACCGCGCAGTGTTATTGAAAACTCGCAACATAGGCAGGAGACCGTTGCTCTGCCCATTGGTTCCCGCGATGTAGCTTCCTCTCGCTCGGATGCAGTGGACATTAACACCGATGCCTCCGGCTGACTTGGAGATCAGTGCGCACTCTTTCAGGGTGTCATAGATCCCTTCAATCGAATCGTCTTTCATTGTCAACAAGAAACAGCTTGACAACTGAGGTCGAGTAGTTCCCGCATTGAACAACGTTGGCGATGCGTGGGTGAACCATTTCTCTGACATAAGATTGTAAGTCTCAATTGCTGCTGGAATGTTTTCGCCGTGGATTCCGACTGCTACACGCATAAGCATGTGTTGGGGTCTCTCCGCCGTCTTTCCGTTGATCTTCAGGAGGTATGACCTCTCGAGGGTCTTAAATCCGAAATAGTTGTAGTTGTAGTCTCGTTTGTAGACGATTGCCGAATTCAGTTTCTCTTCGTTGTCCTTTATGATGCGGTATGTCTCCTCAGATATCATGGGACTGTGCTGGTTGTTCTTCGGGTTGATGTAGGTTCGCAAATCCGTGACCACTTCAGAAAACGTCTTCTTCGTTTCCTGGAAACAAAAAAAAATCTCACTGAGAACATTCGAGACACATTTGCTATCAGCGCCAAGTAAACAAATTATTAGATCTGAGTACTTGGCAAACAATGAACTTTTTAAAACTACTACAGTCAATTCTTGCATTTGCAAAATTTGTCTTTTATAAACATGAATCGCTTGTTTGTTTATGTGAGCTCTTGTTACATTGCAGTTACAATTTGACAGATATGTCCGGCACCCGGCCAGCGCACTCACCTTGTGTAGATTGGAGACGACTATCCTGGCAGCTAGGACTGCGTAGTCCGGGTGTTGTACAGCCATGGTAGCCGCAGTCTCCGCAGCCAGGTTGTCCAGCTCCACCGTCGTCACACCAGGGTAGATTCCCGCGATTACCTACACAAAACCAACATAAAGTTACTATAATCCGTGCAATTTAATTTTCCTTTTTAATGAATCAAAGTTACTTTAATCCTTGCAATTTAATTTTTCTTTTTAATTAATCCAAGTTGAGTGTGCCAGTGTTTCAAAAAACCAAATTTTTCCAGCAATTTCTTTAGAAACCAAACCCGCGATAACGTCAAGATACTATTACTAAGTTAAAAAATCAGTATTATAAATCGCAGTTGCTTCACTTCGGTATTTCAATGTAAAATAATGATTGCAGAAATGTTGTGTGCGATGTGATGTACCTTCATGGTGATGAAAGATGCGTCCACGAAGTCCATGTTGAGGCCATAGCACAGGTGGTTGACTCTGGAGGTGATCTTGTCGAACATGACTCGCTCCTTCCTCCCATTCCTCTTCAGAACATACATCTTGTTGGGAGTGAGGTGCAGACCAGAACTAGAATTCGAGCTACTCATATTCGAAGCTACTTCTGAAAAGAATGGCATGTTCCGCAAACAATATCCGTACTATACTATCTAATCTAAGCAAAAGCGTTCGGTATAATCGTGGCAACTTGTATTCAGATTCGGGTATCTTTTAGCGCTAATTTAGCAAATCCGACAACGCTTTTGATTCAGATTCAAATTTAGCCCAAACTTTGTCCGGTTCTTCAAATGGATTTCAGAACCTGTCTGTATCTATATTCGAAGCTAAGATTGAATTGTAGAATTACGAAGTTATTTGTAGAGTGAATTTAGAAGTATCTAGAAACAGGAATCTCGGAATTCCAACTATCGTACTGATATGTGAGAGAGCAATAAGTTGAATAAAAATACTTTAGCCAACTTGCCTCTCTACAATATCTACAATTAGGACACAATTTGTGCAATGGCCTCGTATTGAACTAAATATTGATTCGCGTCCTATTATTTCTATTTTATGAATTATTTAACTACTTTTATAGTCCACTCGTGGCAATTTAGATCCAATTATAGACAATTCGAATTTGAAATCCGGCGCGCTTTTCGAATTAAAATGGTTCAATGACTGCGGAATTTATTGGACACCAACTTTGAGTCAACAAGAACCAACAGCATTGCGAGAACATTGTTTCTGACATACTAAACAGTAAAAATTATCGAGTTATCATCTGCTATTTGTTAATTTGAAACATTCCAAAAAGATAAAAGAATCCAATCAACGTAAATTCCGAAAGAAATGCGTTCTGTTAAGAGAATTCGGAATAAACCGCAATTTTTCCAAGATGAAAACAAAAAAGTTCCAGTGATCCCACAAAATCTGCAGTTCCTTCGAACAATGAGCTGCGTCACTTAACAATTTTTTCAGCAAAAGGAATTCAATGTATAAATTATTTGCATATTTGCGTCAAACTGACGAAAGGAACTTGAACGGGTAAATTTTTCAAATTAAACGAGGTAAAATCACATCAAATCAAATGCAAAGCAGCGTAACATCATGATAAACGGAAAATTATGACACCAAGACATCTTGTAGATACCACAAGCCATCACACATCACGTTAAGATTCTTGATGCCATGTCCTTTGTTCTGAGTCCGGATCGTCTCCGAGTCTAGGATCATTTTGCCAACTGCCATTGCGTGTTGTTTACCCTCGGCCGTGATGGCCACCACGTCGTGTATTTGAGCTGGGGAGAGAGAACCCCCCTTAGAGGTTAGACCGGGGCACATGACATCAGCACCAGAAAGCACGAAGGGAATCGCACCTGAAACGACAAATTCTTTTCTCTTCAAAAAAACTTGGTACCGTAAAGCCCCGTAGTACCTTCACCTTCAAAAAATGCCGCATAATCAATTCTCGGGAAGTGTCATCATTGACTTGAAGACAGCAAAGCTTTGAACTTCTTAAGGCTAACTCATGTGCGAAAGTATGAACTTTTAATGGGTACAGAAATACTTCTACATCTACAATACCAAAAGGCTTCGGAACCACTCGCTAACATATCTCTACGAGAGATTGCATTAAAACCGTACTTATTGAAAATCATTTTAAAATTAAATCACCAACACGCCCATTCAACTGCACTGACCTTTGTCGACCTGCTGTAGGTTGAGGATGCAGGGGTACTGGTGGAGTAACTTCAGAGTCGGAATCCACCGTCTGTCCACTTTGAACTCCTGCTGTACCTCCTTCGCCACCTTCTCGTCCTTACTTGTGAAGAACGCCGGCTGTCCTAAAGTCATTTAATAAGTCATCACACTTCTCAAAGTCAAACTGTAATAATTTTTCGAACATGTAACATTTGCCCGAGCTTGGCCCAACTATCCATTTACCACAGTGCTTCAGTCAAATGATCATTTCCTTCATTGTCCAATTTAGAGTTTCCTTAATTATCATTTCACCACTTAATTTGATTTTTTCTTAAAACAGACTAGTGTCACCTAATAACAAAAAAATGCCGCACCAATTTATTATCGCAAAAATGAAGAATGTTAACAAAAAATGGCAACTGCCTTTTATGGCCACAATCTGAGCCTTGGCGTCACTGTTCCTCACAGACACGTAGTGCACACTGTCTTCGTTCTTGGGCCAGATGTCGTTGATGTATGGCACTATTCCAGGATACTGGGCCATGACATAGGCCCGGATCCGCTTCCGGTCGGAGCTGTTCAATTTAGTGTCTAGGATAAAGTCTTCTAACGAGTTTTTTTTGAAAGACATTTTCGCAATAATCAAACAAAGCTAATCTGAAAAAAAAACAAGAGCGTCATAAAAATCAAAATTGACAGGCGCTTCGAATAATTTAGAAGTAGACAAAGAGGTTTGCTAAAAAAAATGGAACAGACAAAATTAATTAACAAGAACAGATGACTCAATTCACATTTTTGCATGCAAAAGCTGGCTTTCAGAGAAAAAGTATTCCTCAAAGTCTCCTCAATCAAATTTTAATTATTATTTCTGTCTGTTCCAAACTTTTGCAACTTAATATGTGCGATCAAAGGTCAAATCGTAAGAACAAAATTTCAATTCGAAATCACAGATTAACTCAAGAATGACCAGCCGCTGACGCAAATTATGTAATTATTAGTACTGAAAATGAAGGGACGCCGAGGCAAGGTCAGCCATCGCAGCACGTCTCCACGAACTCAGCAAGTAACATTCTTTAAGTTAAGAAGTTCACCAGTAAGCACGAAGGCAAACCTCTTCTTGCGCAGAGAGAGCTACATAGAGTTCAAAACTATTAAATTGATTAATAAACTAAATTAGCCAGTAAAAAGGATAAGTGACATATCTTAGTTGATAATATTTTGCAACGCTGACAGTCTTATTACATTATTGATACAACACCCTCGCTTATCGCAAGAGTATAAATTTAGCCATCTTACGCTCGAAAAATTGCGACAAATAATTATCTTGATACAAAGAATTGTTTCATGAATTTTATTCAGGCAATTATTGATTTACTTGCATACATAAGATGGATTCAAAAATTGAAAAAAAAATCTTAGAAGTTTTGACGAAAAAAATTCTCCTTACAGCTCTTTGTTTATGATTGACACTTTGTTAAAATAACCTATTTGAGAAAACCTAATTAATATGTAATTTTCGAGACGTAGCATTGTATTAAGTCAACTTATTCTTTCTATAAAGTATAATTACGTTTCCCATTCTGAAAATTTTAACCAGTGTTTAGTGAACGTGAATGACTAGTCTCTTCATTTAAGCTAGCAACTATTGTTTATGTAAAAAAAATTGATGAGCTGAGATAATATTACAGTTTGGCTGATTCCTTTTTGATTTATGCTAGCGAGAAAATTAATTTCATTTGTCTCCGAACATCTGTGTTCATTTAAGTTTTCAGGCTATAATCTGACTAGTCGATTTCAAAAAACTCCATAAAGTTTTAGAAGTCTCTTTTGGTAGGATTTGCCAAATCTAAGCAGAATTTATGAGCGATGGAAGCCTCGAACCAAACACCTCGGAGCCCCAATAATGTTTTAGGAAACAGCGATAGCCAGTTGCTGTGGTTCCAGTTAAAATGTAGTTTTCAAATATGATAAACATCCAACAAACAGTTGGAAAAGAGTCAAATAGTTGCCCTTACACCCCATTTGAAAACACTGGATTAATAGATATATTTTCGTTCAGCTGGAAAATCTAAAAATTCAAACCCACTTTTGAAAATAGAAGCCGATCACCACGTTTTTCATAATCTTTAGAAACTTGCCTTCCATTTAACAAGGGACACGAAGTAAAGTCAAAAATGAATCAAAAGTCAAACCGCAAAAAAACTTTCCTGAACAAAAAAAAACAAACAAAAAACAACAAGATCTATATCAGAGTCTTCACTACGTTCATCGACTCTTAATAAAACGTGTTATGAATTAATTATTTGGTCTAATGAGAAAGACTTGCACTCTTCTTTTAATTTGTACCATAACAGCAAAAAAAATGCAGCCAAGTTGTTTTTTTTTACCCTGAAACAACTCAGTTGAAATTTTAACCGAAATCGAATCACAAGCAAAAACCTTTATTATGATACCACATGCGCTACTGCGGGCATTTTTGAGGTACTTGATTTAAGTTAAAAAACAAACTAAGCAATAGTTCCACCTCATCCCTGCGGGGGGTGGTTGGGACCAGAACTCAACCATAAAATCTTGCACGAAATTTCTCAATTTAAGGAGTGAAAGAAGTCTTTTTCCATTTTATAATCATATCTAGAAAACCGTTACCAACTTGATATAAAAAAAGTCAATTAAACAGCTCTTAACAGTACTCAAGTAGGGGGTTCCTCGTGGATCAGTTCTAGGTCCAACTATAATTTCTAATTTACATCAATCACTTCCCCGAGATTGCAAACATAACAAAGTTGTTATCTTTGCATATTATACTATACATATAAATACGGCAAAGTTACGAAACCTGGATGGATGGCAGTGAATTAGATTACGATAAACCAGGACAAAATCTAAACAATTGTATTCAGTTCAAAGAAGTCAAAACCATGCAACAATTGTTTAGGGAAAGTTTGACAACAGAAACTGATGTTGGATATTTAGGACTTTAAAAAGAAAGCAAATTGAGTTTCACCGAAATAAGAAAAATAGGCGCGCAAAATTAATTTCATTTCTCTACCAAATTAGAAACACGTTGTCGAATAATTCATACATCTATATTTATCAAAAAGAAGCTATACACAGCCTTATTATCAATATGGAATACTGATTTACGGCTGCACCTCAAAGGCAAACCTAGATACACTGCAGAAACAACAAAAAAAACTGAGAAGAGGCGAAAATATAACGTTTATTCATTCTAAGAACTAAACACAAACGAAGTCTTAAAAAACTTAAAAATATCAGAATATACAAGTCTCTTATCTATAAACGTTAAAAAAATGAGTGAGCGAGTAAAACTTCTATTCAATAAGATTGCCAGACTAGACTATAACTAGTCTTGTTCATAATTTTAGAGACCTATATCTGTGCAATAGCGTTTTCTGTGCAGAAGAGTTTTGGTAAAAAATTAGTTCAATTTTTCTGATGAGTAATTATTTGTTTCTCAATGATAAATCATAAAAAAAACGTCGGCCTTTATCATTCCGATCCACATCCACAAAAACGGTTTATGTGAAACTTTAGGGTTCAATTGGAAAAACGACTTAGATTCTGACCTTCCAACTTGCTCTCAAACGACACCTGCAAAAAAGTTTGTGGCATTACGGTGACAATTTGATTTGGCGCTAAAAAATATTACATAAGTAATATATAATTTCTGTAATGATCTCGATTGGTAAACGTCTTTTTTACAGATGCGAAGCTGAGCTCCGCATTATTTGCGATATAATAACAAGAGGATTAAAATAGCATGACGATCTTGTGGGGATGGTTTTGAGCATTCGAAAATATGGAGCCATAGTCTTATCGACCTTTAAATAAAACCGAAAGCTCGCAGGAAACAAAATATTAAGTAAAAAAACTGTCAGCAAATAAAAAGCCGAAAAATCATTTTTGAAAAAAATATTTTTTTTTCAAACACAAATTTGATAAATTATTATGATTAATTCGCATCTGTTTTTTACGAAGGCCTTAGAGGGATATTTATATGTTCACAAATTTCGCGTTAGAGCTCAGTCGGTATAAAATCAACAAAACTAATAGAAAAAAAACATTTGAAAAACTAGCGCATAACTAAATATCGTTGAGCGTTAAAAATAGCTTCCTAAAACATGTGCTGAAACATCGATATTCTGATGACCCTAATTAAATGCAACCGAGAATAATAACTGGGCTTATATATCAGGAGGTTTCGTTTTCATACAAAACGCCGTATCTCGAAAAACCAAATGATTTGAGCAGGAAAAAAATAGATTAATTACCCTAAATTGTTCCCTGGCAGCATCCCACCATAAGGTTAGGAACTTAAAGTCATACCACTTATTTTTAACCCTACGTTTTTTAGAAGAAATATCGAAAAAATCGAGAGAAACGCCATATCTCGGAAATTAAAAAGATTTGAGCAGTAAAGGTTAAAGGCGCTGACAGTGCCCCTCGTTTGTAAGCTGATAGTTAAAGATAGAGTCCCTGGCAGTACCCCCAATTTGTATCCTGGCAGAAATTCCGGAACGTACTCTGAAAGAACCCTACCATTAAGGTTAAGAATTTCAAGATCGGTTAGTTCTTTGAAACAAAAAAGGAAAAATCATAGAAAAATGTCATATCTCGGAAATCAAAATATATTGGGCAGTCACATTTAGAGAAAAGAATTGCAGTTTCTGAGTGTATACCAACAGCACACCAGCATTGGGTTGAAAAACTCAAGTTTCATATTTTGTTTTATACCTAAGTTTTTTTAAACAAAGAAATCATAAAAAAAACTCCATATCACGAAAACAAAAAGTAATTAAGCAGTCATAGTTGGACGCCAAGTTTGCAACTCCTAAATATAACCTGAAAGCACCCCAATTTAGGGTTGAGAATTTCAAGTTAGGTTACTTTATTTAAAACTCTAATTTTTTTTTGAAAAAAGAGAAAATAAAAGCCCGCCATGTCTCGAAAACCAAAATGACTTGAGCAGTCATATTTGAACGCCAACTTTACAACACCTGAGTAAACCTTGTCAGTACTCCAGTATAGGGTTGAGAATTTCATGTTTGAAAACTTGATTTTATAACCAAGTTTTTTTAGAACAAATTGAAAAAATCATAAGAAAAGTCCATATCTCGGAAGCCAAAAGGAATTTAGCAGCCATATTTGAACAGTCAGAAGAATTAAGCGGTCACAAAATCGATTACTTTATTTTAAATCTCAGTTTCTTTAAATAAAACATTGAAAAAATCATAAAAAAATGGCATATCAAGAAAACCAAAAGAATTCAGCTGTCATATTTGGACGCCAGCTTTGCAACTTCTGAGGGTACCCTGAAAGCACCCCACTATAGGGTCGAGAATTTTAAGTTCGGGTACTTTATCTTATATCTAAATTTTTTTTGAAAAAAATTAGGAAACTAAAAAAACGCCATCTCTGGAAAACTAGACGGACTTGAGCAGCCATATTTGGACGCCAGCTTTTCAACTCTTGGTTGAACCCTGTCAGCACCCCACTATAGGGTTGAGAATTTCAAGTGCGGTTACTGCTATATCTCGGAAACCGAAAGGATTTGATCAGTCATATTTAGAGGGCAGATTTGCAAACCCAATAGGTTACTGACAGCATCCCCCCATAGGGTTGAGAATACGAAGGTCGCTAAGTTTTTTATATCTAAGTTTTAAAAAAATATATATAGCTAAGTTTTATATCATACAAAACGCCGTATCTCGAAAAACCAAATGATTTGAGCAGGAAAAAAATAGATTAATTACCCTAAATTGTTCCCTGGCAGCATCCCACCATAAGGTTAGGAACTTAAAGTCATACCACTTATTTTTAAACCTAAGTTTTTTAGAAATATCGAAAAAATCGAGAGAAACGCCATATCTCGGAAATTAAAAAGATTTGAGCAGTAAAGGTAAAAGGCGCTGACAGTGCCCCTCATTTGTAAGCTGATAGTTAAAGATAGAGTCCCTGGCAGTACCCCCAATTTGTATCCTGGCAGAAATTCCGGAACGTACTCTGACAGAACCCTACCATTAAGGTTAAGAATTTCAAGATCGGTTAGTTCTTTGAAACAAAAAAGGAAAAATCATAGAAAAATGTCATATCTCGGAAATCAAAATATATTGGGCAGTCACATTTAGAGAAAAGAATTGCAGTTTCTGAGTGTATACCAACAGCACACCAACATTGGGTTGAAAAACTCAAGTTTCATATTTTTGTTTTATACCTAAGTTTTTTTAAACAAAGAAATCATAAAAAAAACTCCATATCACGAAAACAAAAAGTAATTAAGCAGTCATAGTTGGACGCCAAGTTTGCAACTCCTGAACATAACTTGAAAGCACCCCAATTTAGGGTTGAGAATTTCAAGTTAGGTTACTTTACTTAAAACTCTAATTTTTTTTTTGAAAAATGGGAAAATAAAAGCCCGCCATGTCTCGAAAACCAAAATGACTTGAGCAGTCATATTTGAACGCCAACTTTACAACACCTGAGTAAACCTTGTCAGTACTCCAGTATAGGGTTGAGAATTTCATGTTTGAAAACTTGATTTTATAACCAAGTTTTTTTAGAACAAATTGAACAAATCATAAGAAAAGTCCATATCTCGGAAGCCAAAAGGAATTTAGCAGCCATATTTGAACAGTCAGAAGAATTAAGCGGTCACAAAATCGATTACTTTATTTTAAATCTCAGTTTCTTTAAATAAAACATTGAAAAAATCATTAAAAAATGGCATATCAAGAAAACCAAAAGAATTCAGCTGTCATATTTGGACGCCAGCTTTGCAACTTCTGAGGGTACCCTGAAAGCACCCCACTATAGGGTCGAGAATTTTAAGTTCGGGTACTTTATCTTGTATCTAAATTTTTTTTGAAAAAAAATTAGGAAACTAAAAAAACGCCATCTCTGGAAAACTAGACGGACTTGAGCAGCCATATTTGGACGCCAGCTTTTCAACTCTTGATTGAACCCTGTCAGCACCCCACTATAGGGTTGAGAATTTCAAGTGCGGTTACTGCTATATCTCGGAAACCGAAAGGATTTGATCAGTCATATTTAGAGGGCAGATTTGCAAACCCAATAGGTTACTGACAGCATCCCCCCATAGGGTTGAGAATATGAAGGTCGCTAAGTTTTTTATATCTAAGTTTTAAAAAAATATATATATAGCTAAGTTTTATATCATAAAAAACGCCGTATCTCGAAAACCAAAAGGATTTGGTGGACAGTCATTATTTAACGCCAATTTGCAACCCCCGAGTGTACTCTGACAGCACGCCACTACAGGGCTGAGAAAATAACATAAAAATCAATCAATGATAATGCAAAAATTTGATAATTTTACGTTGCGAATTAAGAAAAATATAGTTTTGAAAAAAAAATTGAAAAAATCATTATAACAAGCATATCTAGAAAACCTTAGAGATTTGAGCAGTCATTTTTGGACAGCAGATTTGCAACTCCTAAGTGAATTCCGAAAGTACACACTATCAGCTTGAGGAAATAACATATTATTCAATCAATGATAAAGCAAAAATTTGATAGTTTTACGATGCGAATATAGAAAAAATGTAGTTTTGGAAAAAAAAAATAAAAAACACCATATCTCGAAACCAATAGGATTTGAACCGTCATAGTTGGACGCCAGATATGCAACCCCTGAATGCAACCCACTATAAGATCGAGAAAAAAATAAATAATTCAGTCAATGGTGATACAAAAATTTGTCGACTCGAGTAAACATTTCAACCTTTTCAATGCTTTGGCCCTTTAACAGACCAGCATAGCGACATCTTAAACACGTGCCAAATGAAATTTTTTAAGCATTACAATATACGATATAGCTTAAACGTGAAAAAAATATTTTGTTAAACATGCAAAAAATAATACGTTCAAAAAGCTTAAATATGTCAACATAATGACTTCTTAAGGACGTCTACATAGGGACTTCTTCAACATGTTTCACGTGAAACGCCAGTTAATTGATTTATAGATAAGCTGACAGAATTAAAGACGAACGACCTCAGTGCCGAAAATCTCTAAAAATTTTCGATAGTAAAAAAAATAACAGGCAACTACTAACTTAAAAACAAGGCAAATACAATAACCATGCTATTTATTAACCATGCAGTTGTACACTGACTATGCAACAGCTATAAAACAAACTGACTACAATTTGACCTTTCTGTGAACCAAGTTAATTATGGGAAAAATGTCTAGTACCCGATTGAAACGCCCTTGCTTATCGCTAGGGTAAATATTATGATTATTATTAATTTTGAATTTCATAACACTAGCGAATTAAATTAAATAAAATAAAAAACTTTCCCTCAGCAGACTGGAAAAAAAAGAATTTCTGGAAAAGGTAAACAATATCTGCAGATGCTGAGGAATTGTACAATTTTCAAATATCAATTTAAACTACAAATAACAAGTTTCATTCATGTTGCTGGTCAGCTCATCACTCCCAATCATCAAGTAGTTCTTTCTCAAACCCCTTCCACGGAATCATTTCGTGAGGGAATAAAAACTCGTTGCCTCTGAATCCGTCGCAATCAGGGTCAAAACACTTCTGGTAGAACACACTGCGATCTAAGTCCACGCAAATATACACTTTGTTACTCTTGTGGAACCTTCCAATTCTTTCGCAGTACCTATATGTATGACCTAATTCATACATGACAAGGCTACTATCCGGGATCGACTTACAAGTTCTGAAAAATATCTCAGATTCAATAACTTCTTGAATCTCCAATAGTTGCAGTCTTTTGTTTAAAGTTTCAATGATAAATGATTCCAATTCTTTGTATAAAAATATGCCATTTTCTCGGTTTTCGATCAACGGTTTCCGGATAGCTTTTCCTTCACTATAACCATTATGTTTTGAACAATTAGACAATTTAAAAGATGAAGTGTCTTCCTTTAAGACTTCACGCGGATCGAAGTCAATATTCGTAATCAAACTGTCCAAAAACGTCCTGTATAACTCTGGATTAATGTCCAAGCTCTCCGCGTAACTGGGTTTAAGCTGTTTGTCGAATTGCAGATCTGAAGGTCTCAAGTTTATTTCATATTTACAGTGCGGAGAGCGATTTAGAAATGCACTTTTACCCAATTTGGTCGATTTGAACATTCGGAAGTTTCTGTTCTTCGTGTAAACTGCATTATCCACAAATAAATCTTCGTTATTACTGTTTTCGTCAATTCGAACGAGCAGATTTTTGATTTCAGATGCAAAATAAATTTTCCCAAATAATTTCAAACTTTTACCATTAGACTCATCGTTACTTGGAGGGTTTTCAGGCTCTACCGAAAGGTAACTTTCATCATTCTTTGCCCTCTTAGAATTTTTCACCGCGAGCTGAATACTGTCGCATAAATGTTTCACAAACACGCCACAGTGTTCGTTATTTTCGAATACCGTTCGGACGAACACTAAATGACACGAAAACTTATTTGCCGTTGTCGAATCCAGATACAAAATATCTCCTGTTTGAGGTCTCTCTCTATTCGAATATTGTAGGCAAGAGCAGACAAGTTCAACGAATAGTTCAACCAACTCGACTCCATTTTTATTTTTGTTCACGTTTTTATCGAACTCGAGGTCAAAGTAGAGCTTGCATAATTTGTTCTCAGATATCACCTAATAATAACAAGGTTTCCTTGAATAATAAAAAAGGTATTTATCAAAAATTGTACAAATAATTTCTTCAACGCCACTTTACTTCAAAACTTCTATAATTTGGAAAGTCACTGGACCCTCGATGAAACCCTTTTCTTCTAGTCAAACCCTTTCACCTTTTTCTAGTGAAAAAGAACAAAAACGGCAAGTTTCAAAACATCCTTTCAATCATTCTTATTGCGAATATTTAAACAACTATTTAAAGTGAACGATTCTACACATGACCACCGTGCCTCATAATGATTCCTTTGGTTTTGTGGAATCTGGAAGTAGTAGAAGAAGAGTTCGCTGGCTGAGCAGGTCACGAATCTGCGCTGACCATTGTGCCCGAACTGACCTCTCTCGTAGGCCACCACTATCGAGTCCCGCTCCGATTTTTGTACCTGACAACAACCAAAAACAGTTCAATTAATTAAAAAAAAAACGAAAAAGTTATTGCGATTAGCATCAATGAAAACTAGAAAGCCTACTTGAAACCAAGTCAAGGCCCCGTGTCATGGCCACTAGCGTTGATACAACGATCCTCAAGAGAATATTCAATAGTTATAAAAACCTAATTGATCGCCGAATAACAGTCACACACTCGCGCCACTCAAAAATTACGGTCAACGTGGATTCGGCATTATTTTTATATTCTTTAAGCTGATATAAGAACGCACTTTATCATGCGCTACGTAATCTCATCTCCTCGGCACTTCAAAATGGTTTCTAAATAAAACGTTATTGTTTGTTTAAATACCAGTACGTATAAAATGGTTGAAAAACTAATAGCTTAGAAGAAAAAGAACAATTTATTTCACCATAAGTTACAAACAACATCAGCATACAACAAATATACATTTACTAGAAATTGAAAACTTATGCTCACGGACATCGAAATTGGCTGTCATAAAATACCAAGGGACGCTTCATTTAAGATAATACTCATCATCGGATAAATATTTTCAAGGGTAGCCCAGAGAATAGATCAATGAATCATTTATACTTTGTAGGAACAAATTATAAATGGTTCTAAAAAATGACTCAAATAGGACTAATTTTTAGTCTGAGTAGCAAAAATTGCAACTAGTTTTTTCAACAATGATACAATTTTTTTGAGGAATTGCAATCTCAACACAAAGTAGTTCTTTAATATAATCCTACACTGGACAACCCAAGAGCTTTCCCAGAGTTAACTTAAATCGGCCGCAAAAGTGCTACACAACGCCATAGCTCCTTCCATAGTTCCTTCGTGACGCGGTCGGAACAGTCACAGAAGGCTGAAGTTTTACCACATATGCACTAGCGGTCTAATAAAAATAGTCTCGCAAAAAAATCTCCCAGTGCCTGGCGGTCGGAGCGCTTCGAGTCGATAACCACCAGGTCGATAACCACATTCGAGTCGATAACCACATTTGAGTTTTTTATGACAAGCTCGCAACACGTATTTGCTTTCGATATTGAATTCAATATTGAGTTTATTAGCTTTACTTTGAGATTTCGCGATCCTTTTCAATTTTTGGAAACTCTATTTTTATTTGCTGGCATTATGTTTCTGTTATTCGGTCCCTGCGTTATGAGAGATAACCCCTCACAAATTGTATATTTCAAAGAAGTCGCGGAAACAAAAATGCATTCTCAAGTCTCCAAAAACTCTTAACGTGAGTACCCGGCTTGAGTGCCAAAATACTAAACGTCCCGAACCTGTCAATTGGTGCAAGAACTGATAAATTGATACAATTTTAAAAGAAGGATTTTCGTTTTTCAAAATTTGAATGATTGTTTGTAAAAATTTCAAATAATTTTCATCTTATTTGAATAACCTTTTAAGCACGATCAATTGGCGTACGAACAGACTAATTGATACAATGTAAGAGGTTTTTCGATTTTCAAAATTTGAATGACTGTTGGTAAAGAACTCAATTAATTTTTATCTTATTTGAATAACCTTATAAGCACGATCGATTGGCGTACGAACTGACAAATTGATACAAGGTAAGAGAAGGTTTTTCGTTTATCAAAACTTGAATGACTCTGTTGGTACAGATTTCATTTGAATTTCATCTTAACTGAATAAACTTAAGAGAACGATCAATTTGCGTACGAACTGACAAATTGATACTAGTCACCAATTGAACCTTGATGTCCCCCACCTTATTGCAAATACCCCCCTCGCCCCGTCTTATTGCAAATATTCCTGACTGAGGTGAGAATACAATGCTTTCAGTTTTTTCTTTTCTTTTTTTTTGGGGGGGGGGGAGTTAGCTATCTCTGAAACAATCAGATTCAAGGTCAATTTTGTTTGTTGTGCGCTGTTTGCTCTGAGAAAATTTGAAACTGTCAGATTCCTAACAATTTTTTTGACGTGAAACGCTGTCTTTTCTGTATTTTTTTTACGATTGATCTCATTTTAATGCAAAATTCATTTTAACTTGATCTCAGTTTCACGCAAAACTTCATTATAATTTGCAAAAATTCAGCCCAAAACATCGCCAAACTTCATCCAAGAGGCTTTCAAACAAGTCAAATCCTGATTACTTCGATCGTTCGAGGATCTTAGCGCAAAGCGGGAGCTGGGATTATCGAGGGCGCTGATATCGAACAATACGGAATTTCTAACAACGATAATAAACGGTTTCAGAAAACTGGCGATTAAGTTAATTTTCAAGACAGGGTTGTTCCCGATGTATTTTCGGTCTTGAGAAAAATCTTGCCTTGTGGCATAATACAATCACTGATTTTGCTCTTTTAAATACAGACCCTCAAAACCAGCAAATTCATCATTGGTTAGGTCTATCTTTGAGAGACAAAGCTGAAAAAAACGTGCCAATGACTCCTTCTACTTGCCAGACAGCCAATTACCAGGAACAAAAAGATGCTAAAAGAGGCAATGAAACCGATAAAATCAATCCCACTTTCGTAATCGAGGAGCGTAATTTGCGTTTCTTTCAGCAAATTAATTTGAATTGAACTGAAAAAGAAACCAAAAGTAGAATTAGGCGCGATTTTTTTTCGCTCATCGAAAGTCGAGGTCACTTTGTTTGAGAAAACAGGATCAATAGGCAATTACTCCAACAGAAATAAAAAAAAATAAAATACATTTTAGAAGCTTAGCTTACATCTTAGATTTAACTGTAAGTCGTTTTCAATTCTTTAAAAGGCGCCATGTTTAACAGCTTACCACTCATAACGTTCCAGAAATCGAATAACGTTCCAGATGTCGGCTTAACTAACTTTATTTCAATTGTACACTCAAACATCAGAAAGCAAACGCGCGCTGTTACTTTTGTCAGCTTTTGCGCGCAACTATTTTTTTGTCTTTAGTTCGTATATTTTCAGCATATATTATTTCCTTGTGGAAAATTAGAAAATAATGAGTGCATTTATATTTCTTATGTATGACTATTTTCCGGTGTCCTTATTGCAATGACCCCGCTGCCTTAATACAAATACCCCCATAAATTCATATTCACCATATTGGTCTGCTAAAACTCCTAGCACCTTATTACCAATTCTATATGATTTTAACAAGGAAACTACATTCGTTTTCTCCGATATTACTTTTTGAATTAGTCATTATTTGAGGCTGATTTGAAAATGAATATAAATCCGCTAATTGTATGCAAAGTTCCATTGCAAAGGCCGCTGATTCTTTTTTTTTCTGTCAAAATGCACGCCTTGATAAAAGATAAAACAAAAACTTAGAAAATCTGGTGTGGCAACTTATTTTTGCTACGCTTCCTTAATTGGGAATTTAGAGACACTTTTTCTGTTTAAATTGAGAGTTGAAAATTGGATCATATTAACCAATTGGACCTTGATGCCTCATTGCAAATACCCCATCTCTCCCTCCTTTTTGCAAATACCCCTTCCCCCGCCTTATTGCAAACATTTGTGACTCAGGTAAGAGTTCAATTTTGTTAACCACTGTTTGCTCCGAGAAAGTTAGAATCTGGCAGATTCCTAAAATGCACTTAGACTCGAGACGGTGTCTTTTCTGTGTACTTTTAACGATTGATCTAATTAATGCAAAATTCATTTTACCTTGATCCCAGTTCTACGCAAATTTCATCGACGAGGCTTTCGAACAAGTCGAATTCCGATTACTTCGAGCGTTCGAGGATCTTATCGCAAAGCAGGAGCTGGGAAAGTCTAACAGCGGTAACGCCCGGTTTCCAGAAAAATGGCGTTTAAGTGAACTTTCGGGACAGGGTTTTTCCCGATGAATTTTGAGAGTTGAGAAAAATTTTGCCAGGTGGCATAGAACAATGATTGGTTTTGTTCTTCTGTATACAGAACCTCAACCTCCGCAAACTCCCCATTGGTTAGGTCTATCTTTGAGAGACAAAACTGACAAAGACTTGCCGATGACTCCTTCCACTCGTCAGAAAGCCAAATACCAGGGACGAATAGATGCCAAAAGAGGCAATGAAAACCGAAAATGTCAATCCCACTTTCGTAATCGAGGAGCGTAATTTGCGTTTCTTTCAGCAAATTAATTTGAATTGAACTGAAAAAGAAACCAAAAGTAGAATTAGGCGCGATTTTTTTTCGCTCATCGAAAGTCGAGGTCACTTTGTTTGAGAAAACAGGATCAATAGGCAATTACTCCAACGGAAATAAAAAAAAATAAAATACATTTTAGAAGCTTAGCTTACATCTTAGATTTAACTGTAAGTCGTTTTCAATTCTTTAAAAGGCGCCATGTTTAACAGCTTACCACTCATAACGTTCCAGAAATCGATCTGTCGGCTTAACTAACTTTATTTCAATTGTACACTCAAACATCAGAAAGCAAACGCGCGCTGTTACTTTTGTCAGCTTTTGCGCGCAACTATTTTTTTGTCTTTAGTTCGTATATTTTCAGCATATATTATTTCCTTGTGGAAAATTAGAAAATAATGAGTGCATTTATATTTCTTATGTATGACTATTTTCCGGTGTCCTTATTGCAATGACCCCGCTGCCTTAATACAAATACCCCCATAAATTCATATTCACCATATTGGTCTGCTAAAACTCCTAGCACCTTATTACCAATTCTATATGATTTTAACAAGGAAACTACATTCGTTTTCTCCGATATTACTTTTTGAATTAGTCATTATTTGAGGCTGATTTGAAAATGAATATAAATCCGCTAATTGTATGCAAAGTTCCATTGCAAAGGCCGCTGATTCTTTTTTTTTCTGTCAAAATGCACGCCTTGATAAAAGATAAAACAAAAACTTAGAAAATCTGGTGTGGCAACTTATTTTTGCTACGCTTCCTTAATTGGGAATTTAGAGACACTTTTTCTGTTTAAATTGAGAGTTGAAAATTGGATCATATTAACCAATTGGACCTTGATGCCTCATTGCAAATACCCCATCTCTCCCTCCTTTTTGCAAATACCCCTTCCCCC